TGAAGCTAATTTTTTTCCGTTTCTACCGTACTTTTTTAATGTCATTATCAAACAACTCCGTCGACGCCAATTATTGAAATGTTTTAGTAAGTTATGTGCGGGTTATTCATATTTGAAAGAGTTATTCACTATTGTATTTAGAATGCACTGATACATGCATGTATATTTAAGTATGAAACATACGGAAAAGAGGCATTTTTCTGTCGAATTCAGAGAAATTCTGTGTGAAGTATCCAGAATTAATATCAGGTAGTTATAAATAAAATAATTATTCGAATAACATTTTTTGCTCCTTTATACAAAACTCTTGAAAGTTTAAAGTACGTTTATCTGGAAATCTAGCTTTAAAGACATATTCGAAGGGTTCCACATTTCTATCGGTCGAATTCCAAATGGTCTACAGGTAATGCTTCTGAAAATAAGTTTAAGGTCCAATTGCCTATACGGAAGCGAGGTTTCGGGGTCTGGTTGGACGTAGAAATATAGCGACAGGGTGACGAATAAGGATGGCATACACAAATTTTAATTAATTATCGTCAGGATTAGCGCAGCTTGAATAAATAACAAATAAAAGATTACACGCGTATGTAATTAGCCATAACTACTATCTAAAAAACTACCGATCTACCAACCTGAGATGCCCATGCAGAGCATCAGGTTGCCATGCTCAACAACATCAGGTCTACAATGCACAGATCGAGTGACGAAAACTTTTTTGCAGGAAGAAATTTTTTTAGAAATTAGCGGAAAGCACTTTGAACGGTGTGAAGGTGTACGGGAATAAGAAGTAGAATGGTAAAAGGTTTTACTGCTTTACTTGAGATTGAATAGTAGCAATTATCGCGGTTACATTATTGAAATACCGCACTCTTGAATTTTATGAAATGAGCTAGTTTAATTAAACTTGACCTGCGTCAATATGCTTAATTTTGTAATGATGAAATTAACATGCCGACCTCGAAAAGTTAAACCTTAATTAAAACCTAACTTTTCGTAGATGTGTAATTGAATTTAACCATGAAATAAAATAAACAAACGAAATTCTAACGGCAGTAATTCAAATAAAAATATAGAAAAAGGCTTTAAAGCATAAGATAAGATATGCCGAAACGTTGGTTGGTGCACAGAGCAGTTGGTGACGCTCTGCTAGGTAATAGTAATCTCGGATGTAACATGGCGATTGCAGCTCGAAAAATCAATAAAATATTTCACAATTATATAGCAAAGGTTTAATATTACAATTATGCGCAAGGGCGGATACTCTTGCTAGGTTCTAACTTTTAGCAACTATGACTGGATCCCACCAACCCTAGCTTATTGAGCCGAGCTGTAAGCGCACACTTTAGACACTATACTTTTTTCCTCTTATGAAATCAGTACAAAAATAACCTAGAGTCTACATACAATTTGAAGGTGAGGGATGATGAATTTCTCATCTATTTAATTGAGCTACCTCAAATGTTGTATCGTCGAAAAAATTCATTGCTGGAGCAGTTTCGCAGTTTTTCACGCCGTCTGACGACAGCTTGACAATTGACTTCTCGATTATGCAAAGAAACAGCTCGAACCTCTCTAGCAAATGAACTAACACTTGCAAGTAGACATTACAAAATTTATACTTTTCTATTAACTTAAATTTATCCATTTATTGAACTAAAAGGTTCATTTTTCTAGAGCGTGAATTTGCAGTTGAACCTCGATTATGATAAATAAAAAAATATAAAAATAGCGGTTTCAGCGTTTATTAGGCCGTGGGCCTGTCGCCGATTCTTAACATCGCAGAACATTCACCGCATTTTGCGGTCTCTAACTCGCAACTCGCTGCTACAATTCTGCTGTGCTTAACCGCCCGGCCTCCTTGCCGATTCTGACCAGAAACTGGCGCACAGAGCTGGGATCGAACCCGCGCCTCCCTGCGCCAGTATCTTGGTACTCTGAACTTTAACCACTGGGCCACCCTGCCCAGTGGTTAAATGATGATGAGCTCAAGTTGATCAATTTTGATTACTAGAATTTTTTATTGATTACTAGAATTTTGAAACAAGAACCAACATCAGGGGCCACGGCTATAAACTAAAAAAACTGCGTTGTAACACATCCATGCAACAACATTTCTTCTCGCTTCGAGTCACCGACATGTGGAACAGCCTCCCTGATAGCATCGTTGACGCTCCGAGTCAACGATGCTATCTTCAAGTCTTCAACGATGCTATCTTCCGAGTCTTCAACATCTTCAAAAACAGACTAGACGAAGCTATGCAGATGCTTATGTTCAGTCTTAAAATGCCTAACAAATTACGGACCAGGCAATAAGTCCAACAGCTATCTCAATCAATCGTCAGCTATGGAAAGATCGGGTTCCAAAGGCCGGATCCCTTGTGAATCAAGTCACGAAAAGTTCAAGAATCGGCAACAGGCCATGGGCCTATGTCTTCAACGCCGACACTTCTATTCTAACTTCATGTGGCACGCGGGCTGTAGTCTGCTCTAGCACGTCTAAAATAGGACCATGGTAGGCATCAGATCGGCAGAAAATTGCTTGTACCTAACTAACTTTCCGAGTACAAGATGGACCATGTGAATGATCATCAGAACACTTTAATTTAAGGCGTTTTTAACTTAAAAAATGAAGATTAGAAAGTTTCTATGAAGCATCAAAGAGTTTAACTCTATTTAACGAGATTACATTTCATGTGTGTAGCACTCCTGCTTTGTTCTATTTATTTGACAGTTATAAGTTTATCACAGAATGGTTTTTAGTTGGAAGGAATGTTGTTTACTACTCTTTGAACTTATAATTTCTAAATTTGGCTGCGTACATATGATCATGTCATTGATTGATGCAGATGAGCTTACGGTGCAGTCAGGTGTAAAAAAAAATTATTTAGGAAGCATCAATGTAGCAAGTTCATGTCTCTGAAAGTCGTAATAAAAGTGTTAAATGAAAACATGTTCAATGAAGTTCGACCTTAGATGCTTGATAACCAAAATAAAAAGTTTGCAGTGAACATTTCGACGTAATTTCACTTTTGACATCATGACATGGAGCTGAAATAACGAAACTATCGCGAGAAATGAAATTTTACATAGTTTTCTATTTGAAACAAATTGAAGAAAACTTTGCGAATGCCAGAATTAAATGGAGTAACTAATATAAATTGAAACCACAACTGCTCAACTGCCAGGCCAAGTTTCAGTTCTAATTTAATAGCTGACACCCCGCCTTGAAATAATAATAAAAACGAAAAAGTCATGGATATAGTTTATTTAAACACAGTTGGTTATCATATTTACATGTATTTATTTCTATCAAAATTTCTGTATTCCATGCTTCTTATAACTTGAAAATGATTGTTGTCACATTCGAAACGTCGTTAATAAATTAAAATTACTTCCTTACGCCTGCAAAAAATTAAAATTCTCTGATCGAAAACTACCCGTGTTTAAACAAGTTTATTCTACCATCAAATTCTAACGTATATAGTTTATTTATATGCGTTATTTACGGAGGAGCATCGGATAAATAAAATAAAAAAAAAATCATCGGAAATTATGAGCCTAAGCATGCAGCAATCATTTATTCGACAGAATAATAACGGTAGATAAACTTCCTGTACAAAATCTTCAGGTCATAGGTGAGATGCATATTGCACACTAAGCAATTAGAAAATCACGAAAAAACTGAAATTATAACAATTTTTACCGAGATCGGATGGCAACGATTTCAAACAGCTTTTAGACGACTTATTTGTTTTACATATTTCTAGTAAGAGACCAGTTCGCACAATCGTACTTCTCCCACTAAGTGTTTTGTAAATTATATCACATTGAAGATGCAATCATTGAACTTTTTTCAAAGACGGATGATAATTGCTTGCAATTCTGCACATTGTAAATTAAACGAAATCCTGAAATTGTATTCAATTTTTGATCGGTTGTATAAGGTAGATAAATAATCATATCTGTATTATCTCAACAGTTTTGTTCTGTACCTGGCAGGTATTTTTTGCTATTACGTCAAGGCAGTCTAATTCTAACTCGAGAGAAATATTTTGGACACTTTCACGCAATATGTGTGATTGTTTCTATGAAGAGTTATCGTTTGATACAGCAGATAATTGAGGAAATAACGAAGTAATTAACAAAATAACAATGATGTTAATTCGAACATATTGGTATTTAATTCATTTCAAATTCAATTCGATACCCCTGGTTGCATTAAATAAAAAGGAAATTTCCTTTGAACGCCCATGTTTTCACTAACATGATCCTTTCGAAGGCAAAATTCAAGAAAAAAAATAAATATATATATTACTAATTCCTAATTTCGAGGCCTCAGGAATTTATCAAAAATAACACTGCAATGAGAGGAAAAAATTAGTTTGTGGATGGATTGATTGAAAAATGGATTTCTGCAGTACATGTAAAAGCGCGTGCATTAAAATGACGATGGCAGGTCCTGAGTTCCAGGAGCGGCTGATGGGATGCTAAACATTTTTTAGCGCATTTTCTCATTTATGGAAAAATGCACTATTGTGCTCGCCGACGCCGTGTCCGTCTGTCCGTCCGTGACCTCATGATTTCGTCGACGAGAAAATGCGCTCTCTGTCACACACTGCAGCGAGTACTGAGTTATATTTCTTGACAATGCATATATGTAAAAATTCCGTCGTTCAATATTACGAAATCGAATTCAACAGATGGTATCTTATTCATTGTTTAAAAAACATTCAAATGGTATTTAGTGCTGTACACAACTTGCCTATCAGACAGACGATTTTACGTAATCTCACATTAGATTAATATCTCGCCACAAGTGACGAGATATTAACTTCAATTCTGCATTACAGATAATAAATCAACGTATAGTTCCCAAGTGCATAAGGGCGGTCGTTCTTCTTCCTGCTTCGTTATCCTTCGAAGAACATCGCTCGGTCAAAAAGTATTTAAAGTGAGTGGAGTCAACGCTGGCATTAGGAACTAAAAAGAAATAAAATCCACAAATTCTCTTCAATTTATTTTCCAACGTAGAAATTATTAAACTGTCTGCCTCTTCATATAGGCCGCGGTGCCACACGAAACATAATCGAACATAAGAAATTCGGAACGAACAAGTCTGGAAATTTTCGGATGAGGAACAAAGCCACACAAGAAAGTTCCAGATAGAACTAGTTTACATCGAAAACTATTAATAACGTAAAAAGTAGCTGCAGAATTTACATTAAATAACGACGTGAACATAAGGAGGGAATCCAGTCATACGCAGTAAACACATGAAATTACTTACGACATACCCAGGAATATAACGTGCGTCAGGGAGCATGCGCTAACTCCTACTCACTAATCATAGATCCTTCATCTGGTATCAGTAAATCGTACTGATGAGCAAAGAGCAATGCTCACACCCTGCATCTCCCCTCTGCCACGCCGCAGCTACCAGACATAGGCTTCCTAAAGCTCATTTACAAGAATATATTTACACGATATGCTTGACACTCAAGATTAGCTCGTATCTCTAGCGCCAATATCCTACAAAAAGCTACTCGCAAGTAAAAATGTTCTTGTAAGAAAACTCTTGTATAAAATAAGTCTACGGCCTAAGTAGTATGCACATACGGAATGAATTATTTACAAGGAGCAACTCGACAAGCGACCCGAGTTCCTCAGTCTGAGATCTGACGAGTACTCATTCAAACAGCGCTTGTTGGAATAGCACTAACACAAGGTATCACGTTGCCCACGGGTGACTTCTTCATATCTGCTTCATTTATCAAAGTTTTCACCGGTATATAATAGCAGGCAACACTATTCTAAAAATCTGGTAAATTAATTATAATCCTCGAATACAGTTGCCTAATTATTTTTTACGTGTTCTCCTTCTATTATGGTGAAGTTGCCTAAATAAAGTTTTTGTTTGAAATTGTATCCTGAAGAAAATTGCCTTAAACTTTCTTTTCAATTCTTGACAGGAACGATTTGACTCCTAAATTTTGTCTAGCTTCTATGTCAGGTACACGGAAAAAATTCAGCTGTTCTCAATTGTTTCCCATTCGAAATCCACATCCCCGAGCAGCATTCACGCCCATATTTAACTCATTCATTGATACGAGAGCACACGTACACAAAATTAAACGCCGCATCGAGTGAGCTCGGTGGAACTCAGATTGATTTGGAATATTTCCAGCACTGCATCCAATCCTTAGAAATCATAGAAATTTTGAAGAACGTAGAAGAACGCTCTGTTGAAAATTTGTATCAAGAATAGTGTTCTTTCCTCACAATAACTACAAGAGTTGATATTTGTACAATCATAAAGAATCTTTCGGGCTTGCAGAGAACAGTTTAAAAATCTTCATTTGTAGTGTGTTTGTGACTTGTAGTGGCACAAACTTGAGAGTAGCCAGGTCTTCGGGAACCGTTGGAGGTTCAGCTCAAGAAAATGAAGTATCAAGATTTTCTAGATGAAACAACACAGCAAACATCCGGGTAAAATAAATACGAATACGCATGTGTTGTATAGTCTTGGTTGGTGCTCGAGAAAGCGCATAGGTTATTAAGAACTCGTGCATGTAATTTGTGACGAGCTTTAGACAACATATTATAGAGTAAAATAAAAGGTATTAGATAATGAGTATATTACACCATAGAAACATTTTCAACAGTAATAAGTGCACTTTAAAGCCTTAACGAATTGTCATATCACCCGAGACTCCCCATATACGTGGCTAATAGTTTACACGCGGGTTCTATGTGTCGTACCATTCAATGGGAAGTTATTATTGAGCTAAAACGCGAGTCTTGCTCAGTATGTGTTATTGAGGCTGCTGGTGAGTTGCTTGTTGTTGTGATGATTGTGGGTGTTGTTGGTGCTGTTGCATCTGAGGCTGTTGTTGTTGCTGCTGCTGTATGTGTGACATGATGTTCATGTTGTGAGGAGCTCCACCATGTTGCTGTGACAAGGCCTGAGGAGGCAGAGGCTGTGAGGGCTCAAACTGCAGCGGCACGAGGGGGTTGGCAGGAGGGGAAGACTGCAGGCCGGGCAGGTCGCCGTGCTGCTGAGCTGCCGCCAGAGGGGCGCGGTGTGGCCGCATGATGGCGTCCGCCTGAGGGCAGTGCTGTCGTGGCCCAGGCTCCGGCGTGTAGGTGAACGTCAAGTTCGTTGCGTAGATGATGCCGTCGTTGCGCACCAACGTTATGGGCACCTGCGGCACAAGTATACTTCAATAGTGGGCTAACATTGATCGAGATACATCAAGAATTAAACTGAACAATAATTTTAGGAACAAATACACGTAAATAAGACTTTTAGCTTGTGCTACGTCAATGAATAATCATAAGATCCGACACTACATCAAGAGCAATGACAGCTGCAAAGACACTCACGAGCGTGGGCTGTCTGACCCACTGCCAGCCTCTTCTGAAGGCGCTGATGTCAGGCACCACACACAACATCGACTCTTGACATCTGTACATCGTCTCCGCCTCCACGTCACCGAACCACACACGCAACATCGGCGTGAAGCTTTCCCCTGTCAGCTCCAACATCGCCACATCACCGCCGCCGTTCAACTGCAACGTTTAGGCATGGCGTCAAGACACTTCAATACATAAACTATGGGCATGACATTAAGACACTTCATTACCTAAACTATAGGCATTAAGCTATTACCGAAACTATAACTGTGATCCAATTATTCCGTTCACCTCCCAAACCAATTTCAATTATCATAAATAATCCACTATCTTCTACTGACAAATTAATACTACTGACAAGCAATATATTGGTAGCCTACCTGCAATTGAATTCAAAACCGATCGATAAAATATTCGGTATCATTCATTAGGTGTGCTTTCGGGTATAATTTCAAAGAAGAAATACATTTAATACTGGAATTAAATTTATTATTAATACAATTTCTGGGGGAGTAAGAAGGAACATCGCTTCTGCCGCTCGTGAATAGTGGCACGGGGACTGGTGGTACACGGGGACTGGTGGTACACGGGGACTGGTGGTACACGGGGACTGGTGGTACACGGGACTGGGCCTCACATGCAAGGTGTTGACGACGGGCACGGGCGTGATGGGCGCCCTGACAGGACCCATGCCCTCGTAGAAGAGATACTCCGCCTTGTCGGTGCTGATGATCGTCCACGAGGCGCCGTCGTTGATCATCTCTCGGTTGGATTCCTTGGGGCAAGGCGTCGCCTGGACAGAGTGGACAACCATGACAAACTTATAGGTATTTAATTTAATGAGTCATTAGAGTAAAACTCAGAAATAAGAAGATAAGAAAGATTAAAATGATGCACATGAACCTAGTACTTCACACCAGATTATTTAACTTTATTGAAGCTAAAATGATTAGGGACTTTGAATTTAAACCATCAAATATATAATTATTTTAATCAGCAAATTATACGAGACAAATCACTATCAGAGAATATTCTATGTCAAGTTCAGCAGAAGAAGTGTAAAAGGCGACATGTTATATATCTTTTGCTCAGAGACGATGAAATGTTCTAGAATTGAATGCGAAGTCTCTCACCTGGAACTGAATAATTCTTTCTTGGCTGAGACAAAGATACATTCTCTCTGTATCTTTCATATAAAAGGCACACTTATGCAGCTGCGAGACAGGATCGTCGGCGTCGAGAAGGGCCATCTGCTTGTCCACTTTCCTGATGACAAGTCTGGGCAGCGCCATGCTGGTCACCGAGCACACGAGCTTCACCGTCGCGCCGTAGTGGATGTAGCCATCCTTCACCGTGAACTCCTCGCTCTCACTCTCATTCTCGTCCACTGTACATTGCAGGATAATTACACCATCGTAATATTACAGCCACAAATGACACAAAGATATCAGAGATTTTTCATCAATTGAAATGACTTCCAATATCACGATTGAAGTAACTTTACGATTCAAAATAAAATTCAGGAAAATGTTAGCATCTAGTTTCTAATTTTAGATAAAAATGGTCATGTTAAATATGCGAATTGAATAGCTCGGTCAGAATCATCACGATCATTGGTAGTTAAATGGGCAGATTTTCAGGAAGAGTTTTCATTCAAATTCTAGATGACTTCGCACAGACTTGAAGACGCGGACTAAAGGTAGTATTATCAAAAGAGACAGTCGTTTATCAAACGCATAATAACAGAAATCAAAGCTGAATATATACTCACACAAATGAATGGTAAAAGCCCCCCACTGCGTAGAGGAGGCATGAAAATTACCATTTTCGACATGTAAATAACGAGTGGAGACCGTCTGAGAGCGCAGTCTGTTGAAAAGCGCCACCTTGGTGCCGCTAGCGATGCACACTGCAAACAAGGAAGACATTAGCAGGCGCATAACAGAAAGATGCATTATTATTTGGTACCGCAACAATGCGTGCTAAGTCACAGAAATAGCAAGACAAGGCAAAAATACAAAAATATATTAGTATCCTATTAGTAACTTGATTAGGTAGAATTATTATGCCTACAAAAAGATATCTGATAATGCTAAAGATCTCATTTTCGTGATAGCATCAAAGTCTAATTACACGTAAGATATGAGATTAATATCACATGATAATGACGACTCACATTCAGCGTTCTTCAATGATTGTTTCTTTTTGGAAGGTTTCGATATGACTTTTATTCTTCGGGAATGGAAGACGCCGATATCGGTTCCAGATCCCCAGAACATTTTAACGGATAGAAGGAAATGCTTGCGTTTATCGCTGTCGCTGATGAATAAAGTCTTGGCGGCACAATAATGCTGAAAAGTAGAAACACGTCCATTTATTCCCTGACGGAAAACGTGTGTATACGCTTCATATGGAATTACCAACAAAACAAACAACCGCAGCCACAGCATCAAGATAAAACGGATCAACCAGTTGAATAAGTGGAACAACGGATCGGAATGTGCAGATGAGCATGGTTACTGGCCTATGAAATAAGAAGAACGGTTACAATTTTCAAATGAATGCAAATCACCGACCAAATTAAATCAATAAGCTGTGGTTAAAACCAAGTGAACATAGAATAAAAATTGATCAAGTATTTTCTTTCATATCAAATTTGAAAAAGAATTGAAGAGTTATTCATTCAAAATGATACAAGACATACAATACAATATGGATACAACATGGAACTTATCTATGAAGTACACCGATACCTCATCTTTCATCAGCCCAGTAAAATTGACCCGGGAAGCCAGCACCAAATACTCAAAATTGAGATTAGCTTGACAATTGAATGAGTTGCATAACTAAAGCCGTGATATAATACTAAGTGTTACCAAATATGTACGAGTTCTGACCTTGCCATTGAGATCGAGCTGCTGCATATCCTGATCACTGTTGCCGATGCCGATGAAGGCGCAGAGCTGCGCGTCGTGCTCCGAGCTCGCGGTCCTTGCGATCTCGTGTCGCTTGCGCTGCCAGCCGTCACCGAAGAGGTAAATGCACGGCGGCGGGCAGAAGAAACGCTTCTCGTTACCGTACGACTTCTGGGCAACCTGATCCATTGCAATATGATTATTAAATATATCATCACAGTTCAAATGTTGCAAATTATAAATTATAAAATTAATTAATAATAATAGTATTAATACAATTAATTAATTAGTATGTTAATTAATTATTATTCATCATTTTCAAAGAGCGCGCGCTGAAACATCGACACATATATTGCTGAAAAGCAGCTGGAAGTAAAGTGTTTAGAGTACGATGGTAAATATTTCTCCAGTTTCACAATAAGAAGTTTGAGATGTTAGCATGAATAAGATACGTGGGGAGCGTGTGTACCTTGGCGTGTAAGATGACGAGAGTTTGGTCGCCACGCTCGTTGAGGTAGCGCTGCATGGCCTCCCGAGTTAGTCTCTGTTCCTTCATCCTGCACACGAAACACGGCATGGTCAGCTATTTAATGGCTTAGAGTAAAGCAACTCACGAACCAGAATGCACAATTCGTGAGCTTATGTCATTAGATGAATTATATTTATTGGGATGAAGAGAAATATTTTGAGGAGTTAATAATTAATCTTATGAAGTTTCCGTCTTGAGAGAGCAAGTTATACAAATATTAAGGCCATCTGCACTCGGCAGGCTGTGTCAAATCCTTAGTTTACACTACATAAAAATGATTAAATGCTGACAAACTGATGCTACTATCTCAGGTGTTATATACGAGTAGATCCTGTAATGAAAATGACCTACATTTTTCATCTCGCCATTAACTTTCATTTTTTGTTTACCCATTCGACCAGTTACATCTTCACTTCATAATTAGTTACAATCGATTAAGCTTTTAAATTATTAGCTGTAAGAGCGAGTATGCCATAATACATCCGAGTAGCAAAAATTTTCACGCTTGCCAACGACGTCGATTCTCTGATTCATGGAAGCGCAAGTGAATCATTTATAATAAAAAAGGTTCATGCAACAATGAATTAACGTAACATTTGTGTATGATGAAATAATTTATGCTTTGAAAAACATTTATACTTGAAGTGAAAGAAGAATCGAATTCGAAGGAAGTAAAATTTTAAGTCTTTGCATCGATGGAGATTTCAACAAATAGAAATTCGTTATCGCATTTCAAGGACACGAAATAATGTCGACCGCACGATCGTAAACGTTTCAACTGTCTAGACTATAGACTAATGATCGATTGGCTGCGTAGAAATCAGACCAGTCAAGGCTGCTTAATTTTCAAACTTAAAATTGTCCAACTACACAATTGGTATAAGTCTAACTAGAATTGTATGATTTAATGACCATTACTGGTCGATATCCTTCGTTATATGATTTTTGATCAACTGCCACCGACTCGTACAAGACGCTATCCTCAAGTACTATCAAATAATTTTGATGCACTAAGTAGCCAGGATACAGAATGCTCACCTAAGCCTACCGAACGGATGAATCCCTTTAAAAAATATAACTCAGTACTCACTGCAGTGAGTGACAAATGGCGCATTTTCTCGTCGACGAAAACGTGAAGTCACGGACAGACGGACAGAAAGACAGACGGACGGACGGACATATGACGAGCACAATAGGGACGGCATTTTTTTCATAAATGAGAAAATGCGCTAAAAAGAAGCTACGCGTTCCCATGCTGAGAAGTGGAGTCAAGAGCTCAGTGATATGTATGTACAAATATACGGCCTAAGCCTATACACGTTATATACGTGAAATGTTCGATGAGGCTGAACACAACAACAAGCCATTGCGCTGCAGGAGAAAAGGTTCTGTAGTGAGTCATGTCAAGGGTCGCCTAGCACCGCACGACTATACCTGCAATTTCTTTAATGCCAAGGATGGGCTAGCGCCGTGCTGCGTGAGACGGATGTGTACGGCTTTCTGGCACAGTAGCTTTAAATTAACTTGTGCAAAGCAAAGGCGGGCCTTTAGTTTCTCTAGTTAAACTAAATGACGGAGGCAGTACGAGTGTGATCACTTCGCTGATAATACTCGTTACTAGAACTACAAAAGCATCAGATAAAACATAGATGAAAGATGGACGTATTAGTGAGTTCTTTGTATTTACTTCGCTTTCCCACTCAATTAATATCCAAAACTAGCGTCATTTATTGTAATTGAAACAAAAATGAATGAAATCTATTGAAAAATTTACTCCCAACTAAAATGATTAGCACTTAAAACCCGGCACAATAACCGAAGTGAAACTGGTATGCTAGATCGCAATCAAAATTTTAAGTGCACAAATTAATACAGATGACTTATCTTCAAAAGTAATCCTGCCTCAGAATAACAAGCGATACCAACAGCCAAGGATTCCCACATAACATCGTGCGTACGGTGAATGTTATTTCATTCGACAATATAGCCACTGTCATTGAAGGTAATGCAACCTCTTGCTTTAACATAACTAAAATCATTGTAAGCACATCACTTACAACATTGACCAACAAAGCAATTGACACAATTCATTGCCTATCCACAAGCTTTAAAAGTAACTCACCTAATGACTAACTGTACAAAGTTGATTCGTTTAAAAAGTCAAAAGATTTACGGTTTCGTAACAAAGAAACAAGACGATCGCAAAGGAAGAGATGCAATTTTCGGTAAGGACCACAGGCTTCACAATCATTAATCGTCGCAGACAGGAGTGTCTAACAGAATGAGAAGCCACAGCAGACTGAGGTCAAAGATCAGAAGGTAAGAGGCAGATGCAACATATCACGTGCCTGCAGTTGAACACTTTCACCGCCGCTGCTGCTGTTCCCTTGGCAGCGTCAAATAGCAGCACCTCGTTGGTGCAACATCCATGTCAAATTACGGAGGGTATACATAGGAGGGTACTACACCTACCGTATATACTATATCACCTATTGATTGTGAAACATCTTTAGTTTGTCGCAATGATCCGTCTGTAATTGTGCATCATGTCAAGTGAATACTTCGAATGAATAGCCATGAATGATTGAATAGCCACTTTACTCCTACCCAAGACCTTAATGAGCATCACGCACGACTAGTAAAAGATGTCAGATGCATGAATATACCATGACCAGGCACCACATTTCTGGATTAATACTGATCGCTCACAGCACGCGCAAAAGTCTCCATTAGGAGCATTTTTTAACGCTATTGTCACTTTGTTTCGCTAAAGAATCATCACATATACAGCTTGGAGTCATTTCATACGTTTGTTATATTCAGTCTTCTTTCCATAATGCATTTAATAACCCCATTAAGCAATCTTTTGAAGAGGCGTTCTCTAGTTTGATTTTAAGAATTGTTTTTACGACAGAACTCCAATGTCTAACTGTTATATTTCTGGAATGAAAGAAAGTTTTCACGGCAAACTGAAGCTCGTCAATTGTCGAGCAGTATTCCGTTGAAAACATAAACAGAAAGATCATCAAGAAAGAGAGAATTTTCAATTGATCTAATTCTGAACGAGTCTTGAAATTAAAAATATATATATATATCTCAATTTACGCAATACTAACATCATATCCTGCATTTCTGAATGATTTTAAAAATTGCTCTTGAGGCTCACGTGGTATATCGCTCGTAGTGTGGTGGTGACGGCGTGGGCAAAGGTGATGGAGGAGTGTGGAGAGCGGGCATCACTGGTGGTAGAAGATGTGGGTGATGATGGGGCAGTGATGGCGGGCCCGACACTGATGGGTGATGTTGTGCTGGGTGCTGAGGGTGCTGTGGTATAGTCTGGTGCTGAGTAAGAGCTGGGTGCTGCTGCTGCTGCTGTTGCTGTTGCTGAGGGTCGGAGTTAAGCTTGTCTGGAGGCGTCAGGGAGCCAGCGAGCATAGCAGCCGCGCACCCAGGCTCTGCCAACACAACAAACTAATTAGTACAACTTACAATTGTCACGAAAGAACAAAAATCATGCAAACTCTGGCACATGTAAATTGAAAGCAAGAAATGTCTGAGAAAACTTATAACGTTTACAAAAAATTTCACAGATAGTTGAGATAAAAATATATTATTAGCAGCTATCTCAATCAATCGTCAGTTATGGAAAGATCGGGTTCCAAAGGCCGGATCCCTTGTGAATCAAGTCACGAAAAGTTCAAGAATCGGCAACAGGCCATGGGCCTATTTATTCAACGCCGACACTTCTATTCTATTCTATTAAGAGTCAGAAGGAGAAGTGTTGTAAGAAACAAGAGTTAGATCTTAGAAGTATCGTAAGAGAATCATCGTTTAGGAACTCATACAGGGACAGATATTTGAAATTTTATTTGTTATCAAATAAGAAGTAAGTGATCTGCTTGTGAGTGCGCAAAACATTAAAGATATGATAATACAAATAAATAGTTAATTGAAAAGCACAGTTGCGTGAATCTACTACATTGAAAATGGATTGACATAGAATGTGAAATGAATCCATTACAAATTGATAAGTAATTAATTAAAATATATAATAAATGAGAAAATTATTTTATTCAATACAATATCTGTCAACACCATGATTATTTGTAATCAAGAATCGTGAAGGTCATCATTGGAGATATCGGAGCCCAAACAACTTAATAACGCATATTACGGAACGTTTTCAACACCGCAAGTGATATACAATTCAAGGACCTTTAACTATAGGGGATCGTTATTCTAATACGATGAATTAAGCTGGGAGGCGCAACATAAGCGACGCTGATGTAGGCTTATTTGAGGATCGCATTGTGTTGCATTTATAACCTCAAATCACGGGTCTGCGGTCGGCACTATATATATATTTCTTTAGCAACGAAACTTGTCCACGAAAAATTGCCGCGGTGCTCTTAGCTCTACAATAACAGACTTGATACCTACATTGCAAATCACTTTCGATTACCAGGGCGCGTGAAACGAATTGCACGACACCAGGACTTGATTGTTGAGATTATATAAGGTGGTATGCATGAACTTTCAAGTCACATTAAAAAGTGCGGTGCTGAACAATCATGCATACAATATATGAAGCGTCCGCTACAGAAGCGAGTATTCGTTGTCAAGTACATACATTTAGAATATAGCAGCAGAATTGGCGGCCTTGAATTCATTTTAGTAGAAAATTTCTTCAAAAGTATAATGCAGTGTTCAGAATTCAGACACAATTAAAGAGTAGGAGAAGCAAAAAGAAAACAGTAAGTGTATTTCTTATATATATTTTGTTCCGTACTTTTCATACGCTGATTTTTTTTCTGTGCGTATTCTTATATATTATATAGGTTTAATTTTTCAATGCTATTTATCATCGAAAAATATACAGATATTTTTGGAGAAAACTACTATATGAGGAGTCAGTTTTTTCACGTTTTTATAGAGCATTCCATGTCAAATGAGACAGCCAGACAGGTTTTGCCCGATACGTATGCGTGCGAGGGTCGCACTTTATGCAAGGTATACGTAGCAAGTTTAGTAGTACAGAAAGCTGCTCTTGAGCTTTATTTATGCATTAATTTGTTCATTGCCAGACTATAATAATGAAATGCCGTTGATGTACGTTTATTTCGAACACCAAGTATTAATAAAAAAAACCAGCATACGAGCCTCAAACTGGAACTGCAAGCAAAAATTCACACCCGACATCTGCCGTGTGTAAGAGAGCAATTGCGCTAAAAATCCCACACAATAATATCTCTTTCAAATAGAGAACCAAAACATGTCTGCATTAACAATCATAAAACCTAGGAAACAAAAAACCATAATATTGTGGAATTATTTCATTAAATGCGAGTGAGCCTTGCTGTGAACTCATCACAACTTTGGAACTAATACACCAACGGTGCAACTCAATACATCAGGGGGAGAATGCAATCCATTGCCACTATAATAAATAAGCGGCCTATACTATCAATCAGTTCTTTCACGTGATAAACTAATGCCGTAAATATGGTAATGGCATAACATGCTCTATCAGTGTCGTGACCAGATACATAACAGACGCGTCACTATATAATACTAGTGCGCTATATATGAGCTCTATATTTCTCGTAAAATAACGTCACTTAGTACATCCGTGCACAATATTATAGCCTAAACTGCATTAATAATATGGAAGTATACATTCGCATTCTACATCAATGGCGTAACATGATGCATCAGAGACTCAACTTAATACATCAGTGGGATAACATTACATATGAGTGCGGTAACATTACCTAACGAGGATCAATGGTGCAGCGAAACGCATCTGGAGTATCATAAACATTAACTACCAAGCATCAATATTGCAAAATTATATACACATCAATTAATGGGTTGACATTACTCATCAGGGGAATAATATTGCACATCAGCGGAGTAACATATTACTACATCAGTGGAGTAACATTACTACACATCAGTGGCGTGACATTACACATCAGCGGAGTAATATTACACATAAGCGGAACATTACAAATGAGTGGCATATCAAATGGTGTGAACGAAGCTCCACTCTTTATCTTACGATGGTAGGCCCAGTGATGACCGTAGCTCGGCCACCGCCATGCATACGGCCCTGCGTATATATGATCAGTCAGCGTATACATGATACGAAGTATTAGTAATATTAAGCAGGGGTTTGATTACGTAAGCGCCGACAGTCATTCTATTTATACTAATACCAATGAAAACATATCACTTATTTAAAAAATTCGATGTAAAAATGTATTTGTAAAATTAGATTAATATTGAGCTCAGAGTAGTCCCAATAAAATAATTAATTTCTAGTAAAACATTAATAACGAACAATATTGCGTAACTATTTGACAAAGAGCAGTAAAGCATATTTAAATGATCAAAGTTTCCGCGGAGGCATGGGCGCAGGATCGCCCTGTATATGGCCGGGGTGAAGGTCGTTTACGACGAGTTTCTCTAGTTCGTAACACCAAAGCTTTGCGACAAGCTCATTAGTATTGTTTAAAGAAGCCTTGTCATGAATTTCCTGTCTCGGATAAACATGTATTTGTGTCGGTCGTCGGTGCCATAGCGAAGCGCAACCACGTATACTTGCCTTTTCGTGCACAATAAACTCAATGATTGGCATTCTATACAATTTTTTGAACTGAAGATGGAGCAGTTCTGCGAAACGTGTTCGTGAAGATATGTGGCGATCGAGCTGAGCATGCATGAACGTGAAGAAAATATTTTCCTCCATTCTCATCCTTGAATAAATCATCAAATTGATCAGAGAGACGTAAGAAGAAATAATAATTAACGAACCTGAGAAAGAGTATATAGTTTTATAACAACCCAAACTGCGCGGCAGCTATATAGGGGGTGATACTCAACTAATCGAATACTCGCGCTTAATCTGCCCTCCGTTATATGCGGAAGATAACTATATGATTATCAAGAATATTCTATAATCGTATACAGAATATTGCGACTTGGGATGACATCACGCGCAGAAACTAGCTATAATCAGCAACACAATACACAATATGTGTATATGGAGATGTGGCGGGGACATCGTCGGCCTCGTAATACCAAAGACAATACCTTGAAAAGAAAGGCATAAACGAAAATAAGTTAGGATGGGAAGTATATATAGGAGGCGATTGATGAGTGCATGAACACCAAAACAGGCGAGAGTTACGTAATTATCACTTAACCTCAGTGAGTTCACAACTCAATAAACGGTCGATGCCTGTAATTATGCGTTTGAACGACGAAGGTTATGACACAGGAGACAAAACGTCAAGCGACTATACTCAAAAACACACAATCAAATGTTTAACATTACCAGAACGACTACGGTTCAGAGGCAGACCTCTGGCAGCCAGAGAACACCATGAAACGGTTACGGTTCAGAGAACAAAAAATACAGATTAGCCAGAGAACCCGTTCCCGCAAACGAGGACGGCCAGAGAATACTTCAAAACGGCAATTAATGGTTCAGACGCTTTAACATAATCGAGGACGAACAATAAACATCTTAAATCGGCAACGGTTCAGAGGCTTATATAAATGGGAAAAGAAAGAGAATACCATAAAACGGAAACCCATTAGAGGCTAGCATTAACTGGGGGCAACAAGATAACATCTTGAATCAGCAACGGTTCAGAGGCTAACATAAATTGGGACGACCAACACACCTCTTAAATCAGCAACAGTTCAGAGGCTAACATTAACCAAGACGGTTAAGAGAACGCTATAAAAATTAGGCAAAGTTTTAGAACGGAAGTTATAGTTTTTATCGCCACAGAATGAGCCGAGAAGCGCACCGCTGATCGATCAGACGCGGGGCTGGCGGCCCCGACATTCGCTGTTATTGGCCTGTCGTCTTGGCTCCGCCCGACAGACTCCATCTTTGCGAGATGACGAGCGGGCCGAGCTTTGCACGCACAATGCGGCTCTAACGCATCTCAGAAACTATATGGAATGATATATGCTCTAAATTCTGTCTTGATATCGATTCATTTATATTATTTATCGAAGAATTTTAATTTCTGCGAAAAATTTTTGCACTAATCCCCAAAATTGAGCAATTGAGCAAAATTTATTGAGCGGGAAAAATAGCGAAAAAAATCGCTGGAAACGATACAAAAACTAATCAGTTCACATGCACGGCCTCATATGTTGGAACGGCCCCATTTCAGGGGTATAAAAGCTCAGTACTACTGAGCATCACTGGCATGAGCATAGCAAATGATGAGCAGTACACAGTGATAACCTGTAGCTCTAATCAGCCCACCCGTGACGCTCAATTATATTATATCGGCAATTATATTCATGCCCGTCAATAAATACTACTGAACATCACTTGTACGAAGCATAGTGCACAAAGAGTATTAGATATCGAAGAAGCAGCAGTCAATAGATACTACTGAACATCACTTGCACGGAGCATATAGTGCAC